TTAAAATGCCACCCATTTCATAATTTTAACTAAAAATATCAATCTCAAAACCATATAAGATGACCCAAAATAAAAACCCATCACCCAATCCTTACCTAAAATCACAATCACAATAAAGAAAAATAAATTAGGGAAATATGAAGCCCATATAAGATATCTCATCAATTCCAAACCCTAGACTCTAGAGACACCCCTAAACCAATTTCAAAGCAACCTCTAAACCCTAAAACCATAAACCAATTTGGAAGAAACCCCTAAACCAATTTCATACAAATTCATACACCATAAACCAAATTCACAAAAACCCCAAATTTCAAAGAAAAGGTTTATGAACAGTACCTCGTGGATGTCAACAATGGAGTTAAGCTTGGATGAACAGCCACCATTGAGGGAGAAAGATGATTGCGTCGAAGAGAGAGAGGTTCACGATGGAGAGAGACGGGCCGAAGAGATAGAGCGAAGAGAGTTAGAAAGAGAAGCCAATTTTTGAAAAACTGATATGGGTACAATAAGTGGACAATAATTTTATATTTATAGGTAGTAGTTGTACAAAAATTAGGAAGGGGTGGTATTTTTAGTTAAGATTATAAAATGGGTGGCATTGGGGGCTATTGGTGTCTTCTGTATAATTTAAAAAAGGTATTTGCCAGCCCTTAATAAATTCAGGGGCTAATTATATTTTGTAATTATAGAATGCTGCGACCACGTGGTATAAATTATGCATGTGTGATAATCAGGTTGATATTAGGGTTTAGGGGTAATATTTCTCATTCTCAGCGCGACAAGTTTGTGGCGGGTTATGGTGTTAAAGTAGATAATGTATTCTCTGCGTCATAAGTGGAGGCTTTGACTGCAATAACATGTACAATATTGGCTATGGAAACGGGTTTGAAACTGATGCTCTCTAGGTCACTTGTTAAGGTATTACTCATATTCGTCATACTGACAATCCTGATTTTATTTTATTTTCGATGTATTGCATGAGGATTGTAATTCATGATTAAGAAACTGTCATTGGCCCTTAATATGAAATCAAACTTGTTGTACTAGTTGTTTCACGTCAATAATATTTTATCGCCTATCATAAAAAAAACAAAAGATAAGGTATATATATGTAATTTTTTTTCCCAATAACATGAATGATGGTTGGGTGTCAATATCAATTATTGTTATAGGTCCTTGTTGAGCTATTAATGAGAATAAAGAAGTCCACTTTTCCAATAGAGAAAGAGAGTTATTCCTCTATTGCTTTTGAAGGAACAAAAAAATAAAATTATTACAGGGAAAAACACATTAGAAAATCCTTTCGAACAAAAAATATATAAAATTTATTTTCTCCATTACATAGAAAACATTTATACTAAAATAAAAAGAAGAGTACTTAAATCCTACTAGTAATAATAAAAAGGGAGTTTCACTAAAACACCCAAAATGGGGGTTGAAATTATAAAAAAACTCAAGCACTATTTAAACATATAAACACACCCAAAATCCATCATTACACACACTCAAACCCCATTTATAAACACACTCAAAAAGTTGACTTTGGAGTTGATTTTGAGTGTGTTTCTATGTTTAAATAGTGCTTGAGTTTTTTTATAAATACATGTCTAGAATTGGGTTTATTTATAAATTTGTATAATAAAAATCCCTAGTAAACCCTAGTTGACTTGACTTTTGTTTCCGTCACCATCGCCTTGCTTGCTCTCCCTGAGCATGGCATTCGCTTTTTCCAACCTGTGATATTTACCAAACAGCACCTCCGTCTCTTCAAGGGTTCTTCCCCTAGTTTCGGGGAGCAACATATAAAAGAAGACCCAACTCAACGCAGCAATCCCTGCGTAGAGAAAGAAGGCCCCACCAAACGTAATGGCCTTGCATAGTGAGACAAAAGTCATGGATATGACGAACTTTGTCACCCTGTTAACGGCCACTCCCATACTAACTCCTTGAGCGCGTAGCTTCAGCGGGAAGATCTCAGAGCTATAAACCGGCGCCGCCCGAACCGATCAAGGAAAAACGTGGCGACCAAGATGGCAATGGTCTTGACAAATCCAACGGCCACGGTTGCAAGGAGCTTGTGGTCTTTAGATTTGATCCCCGCCTTCTCGAAGATCCTGGGGCTGTTCTGGAAGACACAGCCTATGCCCGAAGCTTGTTGGAAGAAGTGGATGCCGAGGGCTGCGATCAAAATGTGGAGAACGGCTGGCGTCGGGTGCAAGATCAAGTCTTTCCATACTCCTTCACCATCGCTTTTCTTTGAGACCGGAACAACGTGGTCGTCTAGCTCTTTGGCGATGCCTGCGGCTTCTTTGATGCCGTCTAGCGTCAACTGAGCCTCTTCCTTGGAGGCTGAGATTTTGTCGAGGACGCGTTTGGCGTCCCCAAGTCGGCCCTGCATGACGAGCCAACGCGGCGACTCTGGCACGGCTAAGACGCCGATGGCGACAATAATGGCTGGAAGGGCGCCGATGCCGAGCATGACCCTCCAAGAGAGGTTAGCTGGGAGCTTGGAGAAGACGTAGTTGGAGACGTACCCCCCCCAATAATATGCCAATATTGAGGAATACCTGTACATATTTATCCAAATAAATCAAATAAAGCCAGGGACCTATAAACTACAGAAAGTCATAAAATACTTGCCAAAAAAACTCATACAACCCGTTCACCTAATCTCTTTAATAAATCTTACGTTGTCAAAAGTTGTTTCCAAAGACATCCACATCCACATATCCACATTCACATCCACATCCAAAAGTTAAAAATCAAAATCAAACAAAGAGTATATGGTGGGGAGAACTACTGGATAAACACCATCACAAAAGCTGTTTCACATGATGTCTCCAAAAGTGCTTCCCTGATTGTGTAATGTGATGATATCACAAGTAAGGAAACAAACACTTCCTACTTCTGTTTCACATGAACCCCTTCCCCGCCGCGGCCCGCGGCAAAAGAAGGGGGGGCGTAGCCCGGGGCTACGCCCATGAGGATAGCTCCAACAAAGAAGATGGCTCCGGAGAGGACGGCGGTGTACTGGCGCCCGATCCAATCGGAGGTTCTGCCGGCCAAGGCGGAGCCGATGACAGAGTAGATGTTCAATGTGCCGGTAAATATTTGAATCTGGAGGTCGTTGATTTTGAGGTCATCTTTGATGAAGAGGTACGCCCCACTCATCACACCAATATCTGTAAACAAAAGTGACCACGCTCAGTTCATACACTCCAAAACCAACAATTTTTTCTTGCAAAATTAAGATTAAAAAAAGTAAGGAGAAAACGATTTGGAGTGCTAATAGGATAATTACCGTAGCCCAGTAAAATTGATGGCGTGCAAGCCAAAAGGGAGCAGGCAATGGCGAATTTGTTTCTCTTGGGTTTCTGTGGCGGATCAAAGTCTTCAGCGATCGCACGGTCAGACATCTCTATCTAGAGAGAGAGAGAGAGAGAGAGAGAGAGAGAAGTATCAGAGAGTGAGCAGCGACAAGGAGAGAGTGAGAGAGGAATAGAATATAATTCATTCAATATATAAGCAAAACCTTTCTTAAAGTAGTATTAATTATTGCAAAGGGATTTATAAGGGAAAATGGTGGTGCAAGTCGGTCTTTCACTACTTGTACCTCTCAGGCTAACACTCTCAAAATCAATGTGGATGGTGCTTGGAAGCCAGGGACCACAGAGAGGGTGGCGTTGGTCTGGTTGTAAGACTCCAGCGGCAAATTGTGGAGGGTTGTGGGATTAAAATGGATAATGCATTCTCTACGCAACAAGTTTGTGGCGGGTGATGGTTTTAAAGTAGATAATGTATTCTCTGCGTCATAAGTGGAGGCTTTGACTGCAATAAAACGGGTTTGAAACTGATGCTCTCTAGGTCACTTGGTAAGGTATTACTCATATTCGTCATACTGATGCTCTCTATGTAATTTTTTTCCCAATAACATGAATGATGGTTGGGTGTCAATATATAGGTCCTTGTTGAGCTATTAATAAGAATAAAATTTATTTTCTCCATTACATAGAAAACGTTTATACTAAAATAAAAAGAAGAGTATTTAAATCCTACTGGTAATAATAAAAATCCCTAGTAAACTTGTTGTAAGACTTCAACGGCAAATTTGTGGGCGGTTGTGGGATTAAACGGAATTATGCATTCTCTGCGCTACAAGTTTGTGGCGGGTTATGGTGTTAAAGTAGATAATGTATTCTCTGCGTCATAAGTGGAGTCTTTGACTGTAATAACATGTACAATATTGGCTATGGAAACGGGTTTGAAACTGATGCTCGGGTTTCTGTGGCGGATCAAAGTCTTCAGTGATCGGGTCAGCCATCTCGATCTAGAGAGAGAGAGAGAGAGAGAGAGAGAGAGAAGTATCAGAGAGTGAGCAGCGACAAGGAGAGAGTGAGAGAGGAATAGAATATAATTCATTCAATATATAAGCAAACTCTTTCTTAAAGCAGTATTAATTATTGTAAAGGGATCGTATGCCATGAAAAAACCATGAAAAATAGAATGGAATAATTATAGATCAAGACAAAGCCATGAAAAATGCAATTGCAAAAGTCTTTCCAAAGACTAGTCATCGATTGTGCTTGTGGCATATAATGAAGAAAGTTCCTGAAAAGTTGAAAAGTTACAAGAAATATTCCAGATAGATATATCATGCGAAGATGGAGGAATAAATTATACTGATTGGGTTGCCACACCTGAAGCACAACGATCTGCTAAGATGCAGAAGAATTTTGATGACATTAAGGAATTAGCAAATGATTCTGATGATAAGTGCATGGTTGTCATGAACTGGTTGCATAACCTAAAGGAGGAAATATGCAAACACGTGATGGAACTTGTAAAAGAACTGAGCCAACTCCACAGTCGCCCATTGGTAAGAGCTTTGAGTCTGGTGTTAATGGCCTTCTGAATGCAAGTCAACATATACTTACTCCATTGCCAGTTAGAAGTAAAGACCGCCCACCATTTAAAAGGAGACAATCTAAGACTGAGCAAGTTATTAAAAAGAGACAACGAACGGGAAAAAAAACTAAATATCGTCAAGACAATACCGACGGAGGAACAGAGGTTAGCAAATAAAAGAGCTACAACTTATTTGTTTATATATATAAGTGATGTCTTTTGTCAAGATGTCTTACATATTTTACTTGAAATTTTTGTAGATACCTGCACAAAGTGATGTCTTTTGTCATACTAATGCTCCACCAATTTGTGAAAGTGATAACTTGGTTGGAACACAAGAGAGCAATAATGCTGTAATGGTATGACATAATTATATTATTGTTTGATAATTATTTTATTGTAATTAATTCTAATAATTGTTATTGTGTATTGTAGGACAATATGGCTTTGTTACTAGGGCTCACTCATGGTGGTCATCCAGATCAGTTGTACAAACGACCATTGACATGAAATATAACATATCCTACAGTCCATGAAAATTATCTTCAGGTAACTTATCTTCATTAACACATTCTAACATAATGTTTTATTTATCATTCTCATGTCTCATTTATCCTTTGTCATATGTAGGGTGACCAAATTGGAATGGAGGTTCTAGTTTGTACAACCTAGCTCTAGTTCAAGAGGAAATGGTCACCAAGAACTCAAATGAAAATAGAAGCAAAAGTTAAAGGAATATCTTGTGGAATTTCGAAATTTTGAGGAATATCTTGTGGAATTTCGTATTGATATTGGCCACGATGCCAGTAAACGTGCAACTTTAATTAGTCTTCCTTTTGTTTTTATTGTTCTTTGCCCTATAGTCATCAACTTTTATTTTGTTTTGGTCAACCATCATGCTTTGATTAATTTGTCGAATCATAAACTAGATTCCCAGTTTAATCAAGAAAATTACTTTCGACCTTTTCTTTTTGTTGTTAGTTGATTCAAAAATGGAGACTTATAAATTAAATATAGATGCTAAAAAGATTAAATCAATATCTTCTTGAATAATATGCTTAGAGAATCCTCTTCTTCATTCTTGTAATTAGAAAATCAGATTAATTATATATCTAAGTAGTCGATTTGCTTAGATTCACTTCTTTTTCTTTTTTTTTTTCAGAGAAAAACAATAATTGTTTTCATCCATTAGGTACAAAGATAATCAGTCACAAGGGCAAATACAAATGCTCACAAAGGGGTAATACAAATATGGAAACATAGTAACCACATAA